ACTCCGTGAGGGTTGAAAAGTTGGCTGAGATATGGAGTTTTAAAGAGCATGTTGAAATTTACCAAAAAAAGTTTAAAACCAAAATAACTCGAAAACGAAAAACGCTAGGTACCAATAACTTTTATCAAAGTCAACCTATTTTTTTACGTACAATTAAATTGTGCAATAAAAACTATAACATTCCATTTAAAATAGCGAAGTTATGGTCTACTTCCGGTAGACCGGAAGTGGCGGCCATCTTGAAAATATTTTAGATCGAAAGTTCCGAATGAACAACCTATGCTACCAAAATTTCAAATCTCTACGAATAGTGGAACCTGAAAAAGTTCTAACGAACCAGTTACGTGAGACACCCTGTACATAGCTGTCAACCCTCTCAATCTCATTATCCCCAATGTTGATGTTAGAGCTGGGAACAAGATTTATCATAAATTTTGATTTCTCCTCGTTAATATTTAGCCCGACTCTTGCACACACCTCCTTTAAGTCGTTCAGCATTAGTTTAATCTCTCCAAGGCTATGCGATATAAGAAGTATATCGTCCGTGTAGCGCAAATTACTTAAACATTTGCAATCAATGATTATGCCTTTTTGGGTCCAATCCAGTTTAATCCTGTTCAAATACACTCTAACTGGACTGTGATGAACAATTTGGGTTCAACAGTGTCCTGCCTTGTTTTACTCACAATCAGTACTTTACTATTTCTACTCTCTTCAGTACTTTCATGCAATTTTACCGTCATTGTAGCATTCTTGTAGATGTTAAAAATAAGTTTGGTATATCGATAATAGTCGTTTCTCCATTCTTTAAGTGCTTGCATCAACCCAATTTAAATTAAATTTTATAAATACCTCTAAATACCCATCTTGGGTAAATACCCCCGGGTATATATCCAGGAAATTTACCCTTGAAAATAAATACCCGGGTGTTTAACAACACTGCTCCTGGATAACAAAGCTTACTATACAATAGCTCATATTACCAAATTTAATGCAGATCAATGCAGAAAAGATCATAGCAGATCAATGCTTTCGTTTCTTGGAGTAAGAGATATCGTGTTGGGCAGTGTCACATATGGTGATGTTTAGGTCTATTAAAATGTTTTATACGACAAACATTCCTGTAGTGCCGAACATAATGCAACAAATTCCGCTTCGGTGCTAGATAACCCAATTTTTTTTTTAGTAACCCCATAAATTTTAATTAAATAACGACTATTATTGCTTTTCTGTCATGATAATCTTCACCATAGTCCGAATCAACATAGCAAACAAATGGCAAAGCATTATTATCTCTTTTGTAAACCAATTCTAAATCTATTGTACCCTTCCAATATTTCATCAATTTTTTTAAATGTTCCCACACTTCCTCGTAATTTATTTAAGTCTGAAACCTAAGTTTCAAGACAGAAATTTTTATTGGTTTTTTATTATCTTCTTCTTTCATTATTTCTACATCTTTAATTTCTAATTTTAATTTTGGATCGATAGGTATTGATGAAAAATTACAATTTTTCATATTGAAACGTTTTAATATTTTTGTTAAATATGATTTCTGATTAATTCTCAAGATTCCCATTTCTCTGTTTTAATTTATTTCTAGTCCTAAAAAATTCTTCAAATCACCCTTGTCTTTTAAAGCAAATTCATCCATTAAGTCCTTCTTGCATTTTTCAATGTTATTCGCATTAGAGCCTGCCAATATTATATCGTCAACATATACAGGCTGATTCAAAAAAACTCTGACAGACTTCTAGGGCAGCTAATACATCAAAAATTAAGATGAAAAGTCTTAATATACATCGTTTACAAGTTTTGAATAAAGTAAACTATATTATCATAAAATTTTTTATAGTACAAACAATAATCATTCTCAGAACTGTCCCTCACCGATTTTGTTGAAATTTGGTACAGCGATAGTATGGCCAAAAATAAGGTTTACGTATTTTTTTATACGTGCTAATAAAGCCCCTGGGGCGAGTTATAAGGGTTGGAAATCGGGGCGAAATATATATATTTGCTTATAGGCTGAAAACGAAAATAGCTATCGAAATGTGGTAAATGTAAACTGGTATTCATTTTTAAAGAGCTTTCCATTGATTTATCACACATATATCTGAGAGCTTCAGGGGGTAAACTACCCCTAGTTTTTTGGAATATTTTAAAAACTACCCTGTCGATTTTGGCGATATTATGTATCCTTATAGTACGTTTAAAAATATTAATAACGTGTTTTTTCTTATTGCTTAAGAATAATGTGATAAACTGTTACACTTTTGAACAATATTTTGAAGAAAACCATTAATTAGATGTGAATTAAGATTTACACAGTAAAATAAACCCTATACGACATTAAGGGATGGCTGGGGTTAACTACCCTAATCACCAAAAATTATTCTTTTTTGCGAAAATTGTTTGTCGATTTTAGTGCAATTTACCACGATGATTTTTTTATACGTTAGGTTATACTATTGTGAACTTACAAGGCTTAGAAGTTTGGGGTAGAGAATATATTTTCGCTAATAACTTTCATACTCCTACAAAAAAAGCTTTTTTATCCTTATTCTATTTAAATAACACAAAAGTTAGGATAATTATATAAATATTTATTAATAATAATGAGTTCAAAAGTAACTGACAAAAGAATAGTTGACTATCACAAATTGTATTC